GACAAATCCAGGATATTTGAACACGTTGAACTCTCCTCGCTGGAATGGATGTTGCAAAACGGACTGCAACTACAATATGAAACTTGTACTACAAACTCTCTGTTTGGGCAATTGCGCCAGAATCAATATTGTCGCAGAAAGATAATACAAACATTGGTTTGATGCACGATTATTAGCCAAAACTACTGCAGCGTATGAAACGTTTAATGAATACACGAAATGTCCAAAACAATATTCTATATTTGCAAAACTTAACATCATGGAGCACTGAACATCTAAAAATAAAGTAAAAATAATACATGCAGACATTTGCCTGTCCTAGGAAACTAACTTCGCCTATCATGAACACACTAAATAAATACGTTGCGAAATAATGTACGATTTCAGAGAGTTTCGTCCGATCAGATACAAACTCCTCGGATTTACGAGGTGTAAAGCACGCTCCAGAAATATATAGCACAGTTTCGTACAATCACACTTCGACGAGAGCTCTCTGTCGTTGCCAATAATAATCTAAATTTCCGTGTTCCCGTTTGCATCGTCTCGTTTCAATCGCGACATTTCCCGGTGCGCTATACATTGTAAATGTATTTTGGCGAGAGCGAAGCCAGTGCGAAGTTTGCGAGTTGCTGATTCGAAAAGCGCACGGACACGGAGAAGACAGACGTACGGAGAAAATGATATCGTTCCGGGATCCGCGCTCGAGGATCTGCGCGTCAGCTCGTAAATCCGACACGTTTCATCTTAAGAAGAGATTATTAATCGAGTTAATAATCGAGTGCATCTAAACGCGGGTCTAACGCGCATCAACTAAATTTCCAGAGTATTTTGTTCCGAGCAGCACGTGCCCGTATAAATTTCCTCCGAGCGATCTGTTCCTGGCCAGCGGCGGAATTTGTCGCAATCAACAAATTTACTTTTCTTAATGTCCCTAAACTTCGGGTAAATAGCGTAGAAAATCTGCGGATATTGTCTGAATGATCTGAAAATGTCGTTGATAACTTTTGTACTTATAATAGCACAAACCATTCTCTATATTTCAATTAACTTCAGCTTTTACGTCTATTCTTATATAACAAAACATCTGGCAATAATGTGAAATAGAAACTTTCATTTGGCATTAGTTAAATCTAATCGGTACTCGTTTTTAATTCTCACCGATTTTGCACTAACTTGATGTGAAATCTTTAGTAATTGGATTATGACAACAAGTGAGTTGTAATATTTTTTAAGAGATGTTCAAGATCCGTGAGATGTGAGCTAATCGAAGCTTTGGCTCGGCCTTCGTGTTATTTTAAAAGCACGTCAATACGAGCGTCAGGTTCGATCTTTCAAATTCGTTCACAGTTGCTGAAACATGGGCCAGTGATTTATCAATACTTTTATCGGGTGCCAGAATAGACTTGCCACGTTTTAAGTCGATAATCGACGTGACCAAGACACGAACAATGAAAAAGAGATGATCCTCTTATTTTCCGTGATTGCTCCTTCGCGAAGCAATCGTCGATTTAGACGAAGCTCCTGTTTGCTCGCGTTAAGCAATTTCATTCACACAACAAAAGGACGATTATCTGGTTGCCTCTGGATTGCAATGGAACGCAAATTGCGAGTCCCGTACCCCTCCGGCTACACGATCCGCCGCCGTCTGTTCTTTATAATTGTTTCTCAGTTTAAATCATTGTTTTGCGGAAATTAATGATTCATTGTTGTCAAAGAGATTTCTTTCGCAAAGGACTCAAAATGCATCGAAGAAACACAGCTCTCTCGTTGACAAATAACTTTTTGTCGCGGTACATTCATTTATCAGTTTGCTCGAGTTACACAACAACTAAAATTATACCAGCAAAGATGATTCCAACAGAAACTCCAATTGTAAATCCTGAACAGACTTGCGCGTTCCATCTCAACGTAAACAGTTTCCCTACTTTACATAAAATCGAAGCCAATTCTGGGTCATCTGCTATTTTTCAAAAGTTACCCCGCAAGGGAAGTTTCAATTGGTGAACCGGAAACAGGCAACGATCGACGTTGGGAGAAGACTAACGTTAAGACGTTTTCTGGTTTCAACGTTCGATCTCCCTCGCCCCTCCGGTTTCAAAGAAAGCGGCCGGCTCTTCTCCCCGCGTTATGGCGAAATTTATGTGGGTGATAATTCAACGTCTACCCTCACGACGCCGCGGTGATAATAACGATGAGAATGATTTAGTTGGATTATCCGCAGCTTCGGAGCTCACGGGTCCGCACGTGTGTTTCACGAATTAATGCCTCCAACACGGCCAAAACTATGTCTATCTTCGACACGTCTATATGGAACGTCCGGCCGAGAGGGACAAGCTCTGAAATTATCCCTCTTGCCAAGCCCGACCGATCCGCCGCAAGTTATTATTGAAATCTTTCCTGCCCGATTCCAGTCGACGCGCGACGATGGCCTTTAATTAAATAAATATTTTTCTACCCGGGAAAAGCTGCGGTAAAATCAGTGCCCGGGATGAAACGCCTATTTTCGTTCCCAGTGGCTTCAACTTTTTCGTCGTACAAGAGGAAATTATCGTGTCGTACACATCAGTTTCAGTGAAATATTTTTGTCAATACTTTTGTGCTTTTTATACAGAAGTTCGGTTCTTCGAAGTATTCTGAATCTCATAATAATTATCAGCCTTAAAAGAACGACGCGCGATGGCCTTTAATTATTTTTATTAAAATACTGATGCAAATTTCAAATCCAAATAACATATCAGTTACGAACATAATGTTTTTTTATTACCTATTTACCTGTTCATCGTCTTTATTGAAAATATTTAAAACAAGAATTAAATTCTAGACACATTTGAGAAACGTAATGCTACGGAACGTGTTTACGGAGAGATAATTACCGCGCAGCCCAGGAAACGTGGCAATGGGTCGGTGGGAAACAGTGAGCGATTATCGTTAATCGGAAACCCCAATCGCAAGCGACGTTCCTCGGGCATTCATCGGCCGGATTTACGTCGCGTCGCGCTTACTTCGTTTCACCGTTCGTTCGAAGCGAGTTGCCGTTGCCAGATCTAAAACCGTCTTACCGACAATGACGTAGAATCTGAGTAAATCGCGCGCCCGTTGTCCGCTCATTTTGCATTAAACGCCGCCCGACTAATCTTTCTTATTCCGTGGCACGACGCGGCGCGGCGTGTCGCTTCGTCGCGTCGATTTAATTTCGTGCCCGAACTTTCCTTTTGTCTGTTAAAAGCCAACCCTCTCTCGATGGACAGGGCAACTTCGCGGAAGTCGCTGTTCTCCTCCCAGCTTCGGAACGAAAAAGAAAGGATCCGTACTACCCGCCGGAGTTTGATGAATCGACAGAAATACTTTATACGCGCGGATTCCAATTCGATTCTATTTTGCACGTCTCCCTGTGCGCATTTAGAGAGAACTGTTCCTTGTTTAAAAAAAAATGTTCCTCAATTTCGTTCGCCCCGTGCGTTTTGTGACAACAAGCCATAATGTGATTAAACTACGTTTCAATTAATTGTAATAGCCAGAGGCTAAATTGAAAAATAGTTGGTAGCTACTAAGCGGTATAAGAATTAAAGACGAAAATGCGTCTCTATTCTGTTTGAAATCGAAGTTTATATTTTCTTTGACTCATCGATTTTATGTGCGAACTTCGGAATAAACTGAGTTACGTGTGAGTCGAATGATCAAGTGCAATGAAACGTCGAACGATCCCAAATGTTATCGAATAACGGCGATAATTTTTAGAATTCCAGTTTTAACTGGCGAATTAATTTTCCAACATTGAAATCTTTAAAGTAATGATGTTCGTAGATTCATTCAAGTAACAGTCTTAAATTATCTTTATTTTTTGTTATTTTATCATCTATCCTTGTACTGTAAAAATATTGTTCGTTTCCGTGATTCTAAATATTATGAATCGGAATACTTAAATGCTCCAAAATATTTTTCACAATCGAATTGTTGAAACGGAGATCATCCAAATATTTACAGGATTCAAATTTTTAAAAGCGTATCACTAAAATAATGTTTAATGTTTTCTATAAACGCCAAAAAGCGGGTGAATTCTGTTAAATTTAATTATTTTGTTACTAAATAAGCGAAACAGGAATAATCTGGGAATGAAGTTGGCCAAGAGTAAAAAGAGAAATGCCAATTACATTAATAATTATATCTCAGCTTGACCTAAGCATTTCATAACTGCCTGATTTATAGTCTCTTTGATCCGCCCACGTTCAAATAACTTTAATTCCTCCACTTATTACATAACTGATAAAAAAGTAAAGTTTATTAATGGTACACAAAATTACTTGGCCGATTTCGATTCCCAAACAGGGACGTTAATTCTACTTGAAACCAAACATTTACGCGACGCCATATTTTAATTGTCCCGGTAAGAAGGACACCACGTGGATTTTTCGCGAGAACTACACGCTGGGAAAACAGTAAATTGGCAGATGTCAAAATACGAAATACCATTTTCGCGCGCGCTTTTTATTGATTGTTGAAGGTATGATCCCGGGCATGATGCCCGATCCTCGTCGAGGACCGAATACAACGCGCCAAATAAAGTTGGTAAACCCCGTTCGAAATCCGCGGATCGAAATAAGTCCGTTTATCCTTGACGAATATCAGAATGAACCGAGAATCTCGAGCGCCCGCCGTCGAACAGAAGTTTCTCTTTCTCTGCGTTTATTTTTAGCCTACACGAATCGTATACTCGAAAAAAAAAAGGATAGGCTTAAATCTGTGCCCGCTTTTCGTCGACCATGTTTCCTCGTGAATTATTATAACGTTTATAGACATTTATCAACGACCAATCGATCCTTCATAAGTAAGATACAAAAATTCGAATGAAGGAGTTTACTAATCGAGTATTTAAGACGGTATCGTGAAAGCAAAGGACGGAAGACTCGCAATAAAACGTCCACGCGTCGAGGCGCCAGCGACAAAACTTAGTTAGCTACCTACCTTAATCGCACGTGTCACTTATATATGTCGTCACTTACTTCTTGGATCTTGTAGCTGGTCCGAATAGTTTTACGCTTCGTGGTGGTGACCTCGTAAGTCTCCTCGACGGTGGGCGCCTCATCGTCCTTGTTGTTCACGTTGTTGTTGTCACTGTTTAGAACACCCTCGCCGTTCCCAGACGGGACGTCAGGGCCGAGGACGTCCGTCGCATCCATCCCCGTGTTCTCCGTATCGGCTTCCAGGTTGAACGATCGTATAAACGAACGAACCGCTCCAAGAAAAATGCGGTGTTTACTTAGTTTTTTATCGGTCGATTCACGCGCGGGTGAAAGTTGGGGTTGTACTATGGGCGACGTGAGACACTCGCGAACACGCTGCGGATCAGTACGTGGGAAGCGGTCGCGCGGAAAAACTTGGTCGAGCAGAACCGACGAAACTATTCCGGGATCGGCCAAGTTCTGCACGAAGCAGCGAGACTGGCCGTACTAAAGCACCGCGGTACGAGAAACCCGCCGCGAACGCGTTCCCGCGCGCCTTTCAACGGCGAAAATAGCTCGTCAAATTTTCCCGAAGGAACTCAACACGCGCTGCGGTTACGACCGCTGTCGAATTCGTCACTGTTCACCGGCCCGGTTGCGATAAATACTCCGCTTCGCGCTCGAACTGTTCGTCGTTGTCGATTCGTCCACATCCGGTGTTTCTATTTAGTATTGCGTATCGCGACTGGTCATGCTCGGGATCAGGGTTGCTAGAAGACGCGTTGGGAAGCCGCACGACAACTCCTGCGAGGAAAAATCAATTACTACGACTCGTGGCTTCCCTCGCCAATATTTATCGTTTGCTCGAAACGTTGGATTTTTGATCGATTTCATTTCAACAAGGATATAATTAATTTTATTCTGTCGTTATAAAGAGAAAACGTTTCCGGGACGATCTGATATGCTTCATTCATTAACTTCATTCCTATATTATGTGACTAATCGATGAATTTTTGTCAGCATACTATTTTCATGAAATCTAAAATTTAATACGATTCAAGGCGAGAATACATCTAGACAAAAGTAACTTCGCAGTGTATTTTATCTATATTGTTTGTCCTGTATGTAAAGATAAGCGAGATAAAGGATTGTTTTTTGGTAAAATTGAATTGTTTGTCAGTTTAACGTGGAAGCTACATGGAATTCAAGGTGCACGCGCCATCTGACGATACGTATGTAAACTAGATTAAAAAAAAACACAGCATTGATGAGCATTTTGCTAAATTTTATATTTTAACCGTATATCTCCTTCCTTTTCTTTTCTCTATACAACTATCCGTACAAAACGTTTATCATTACAAATATATATGTAAAAATCACAGTGAAGATAACAAGGCATTTTCAAACGCAAACACGTTTACGTACAATGCATTTTACTTCATCTAATCAGACTTATATGTTTAAATAAGCGCAACACGTGAATTACATTATTGTAACACGAATTTCATCAAATAAACAAGAGCCGCCAACGATCTCCTTCGCATATTACTAAAATCAGCGACTAACTTATTTATACAATCGCATCCGGAAGCACTCTTCTTCGCTCGCAATCAATGAATACGTTCTAATTTCTTTCGGTCTTCAACTTTATCAAGTCCTTCGGCCTGAATACTCCGACTTCTGTAATGATGCCCGTGATCAGCCTGGCCGGAGTTACATCGAACGCCGGATTCCAGCAGTGTATACCACACGAAGCAATTCGTTCGTTTTTTATATGAGACATTTCTCTCTCCGGCCTTTCCTCGATAACAATATAATCGCCACATGGAATGCTAAAGTCTATAGACGTCCGTGGCGCCGCTACATAGAAAGGAACATTATGATACTGCGCCACTATTGCGATCTGAAAATATAACGAATATAATTAACTAGACGAAAAGGTATCAGGATTTCGAATGAAAATACATGATTGAAGCCTTACTTGATATGTTCCAATTTTATTAGCAGTATCGCCGTTCGCGGCCACTCTATCTGCTCCGACTACTACTGCGGAGATATTTGTCGACTTCATCAATGCTGCTACCATGTCATCGCAAATAAGAGTTCCAGGAATACCTTCGTAAACTAATTCGTAGGCAGTCAGTCTCGCACCTTGAAAATAAGGTCTGGTTTCTGTACAATATGCGTGATCTATAAGAGTAATTAATTAAAGAATCCTATAGAATCCTGTTTGAAAGATAGAGACATGTAACCATTACCAAGATTATGTTTCTTATGAAGAGATCTAATAACACCTAAAGCTGTGCCATAACCTGCAGTCGCCAAGCTCCCAGTGTTACAATGAGTCAAGATCTTAACAGCACCATCTCCATGCGTGTGCTTCAAAATTTCTTCAGCTCCAAAGTCCCCAATAGCTTTGTTATCAGCAATATCCTTTATCAACATTAATTCTACACTATCGATTAAGCTAAAAACATGAATATTGGTAAGCTGACATTGAAAATTGATTAATTCACACCGAAATGAGAACTTTTTATTATACCTTTCTTTCATTTGATCAATATTAACAGTAGTATCTTTAGTGAGCTTATTAGCTAAGTGAATTAATTCATCAGCTGCTATTTTCATATTAACAGCAGTAGGTCGTGCTGAGACTAAATAATTCAATTTGCCTTCGACATCTTGACGGAGACTCTTTTTATCTCTATGATCATCCTTCGTAATCTCCGCAACCAAACTAAGGCAGCCCACAATGGCTATAGCTGGTGCACCTCGGACCTGTAGATATCATGGAAAATCTTCTAAGTCGAGCGTACAGTCGCCTCTTATTTTAAGTCGACATTTGAATTATTTGCCAACGACATGTACAAAAACTAAATGGACAGACTCGAAAGGATGTAGGTCAACTAATGTCACTAATCAAGATTTCTTTTGCTTTAGATCGCCGTGAAGTAGTTTAAATTGCCACAGTTCCCGATAAACTGCAATTTATTAATTTAAACGGTTCATTTGCTTGCTAAATATTATTTGTCAACCGGAGTGAATGATAACTAGACACTGCGTTTTAATAAACGGACAGAGAATCAACGAAATGTCGATAATTTTCTTACACGTAAACAAAACATACCTGCATATTACGAATGACGTGCCAACCATCTTCCACGCCTGTGACAGGTATATATTTGGTCCGGGGCAATAAAGTTTGGTCCAGAATTTCTAGCTTGCCATTTTCCCATCTGATCGATTCCAGTGTCGTATCCATTTCGTGAAAAATAGCAATTTCGGGAAAAGCACGTGTTCTGTTGTGGAAAACTGGATGGCGACGTGCCGACACAGACCCGAAACGCGACTTCGCGGCTAGCACAATCACGGCTTCGTACTTTCTGAATGAAACGAGAGTCCGTTCATTTGAAACTCACGTGTACACTTGGAACGACCGTGACTGGGTCCTACCGTATCGCAACAACGATCGCTAAGCTATCACATGCCCGCTCGTACTGACACTGCGACACTGCGACATTATACACGCAGACGCGGCATGTGTACGGAGGAGCCCGGGCAGCGCCGCCTTATGACTGTAAAGCGAACTAAACGCCCCCCCACTTAGACCAATGCGCGAATTATACAAACTACGATGTCTCGCGTTCTCTTAAAAATTCACAACCAAATCGTTGGAGGAATTCAGAGAGAAGAATTAATAATGGCGAAACGCAATTCTTCAAGTATCGTTAAGTAGCCTTTAAAAGATATACGTTTTTACGCGAGTATATAGCGAAATCAGAGAATATTTAACATATGTTTAACTTTTTGTGCACATTGAATAATCAGAACAAGCTCAAATTGAAAATTTAGATGAACTTTTAACCTTTCAGAAAATTCTGTGCATGCAAATCAGAAACTCACGCCAAAACAACAAGTTATCACAATGCTTATCTTGAGATACATAAAAGCGCGAAAATTATCTTCTTTTAACTGCGTTTTGTGTGCACTGCAAGATAACTGTAGCATATATTATCAACTGCGTTTTAGTAAATCTAGTAATATATAAACTAGTTATTGAAACGTATTTAGTCGACGAATAAATAAAATGTAGAACGCAGATAGATTACAACAATTTGGAGAGCTGAAGGTTTAATTTATACTTGATAATAATGCAACGGGAATGGAATCAACATTGAAAATATCACGATTCCTAAAATAGTCTCATGGTTATTTGACAAACACGAGGACCGACGATAAAAGTACATAAAGTAAGGAGATAGCGATTGACAAAAGTAGCGAGGAATACTTTTCCAACCCCGTGCGACTCGAGCAATGTGCACGCGGCTACCATTCGGTACAAAGAAGATCGTTCTCATTTCCCATGCAATTCATCGCTTTGATCCTTTACACGATTCCGGCCGACCGTACACGCATACCCGTCACCAATTGCTCCGACACATATTTCAAGTGCAAACTATTCCATTTACTTTCCATGTTTTAAAAAAAACCTATGCATTTCAAAACACAGTGTATTCCTCGTCGCGCGGGTCTCGCCCTGGAAGCAGGTGAATTTCGATCATTTTCCACGAGCTTTTCACCTTTTTCGGGTTTCGATAAGCTCGGGCATGTGGAATAAGCTGCGAGATGAGTTCTCGTACAGTTCCAAGCATTTAGAAGAATAAATAAATGGGCAATCATTCTGCGATTGTATGCCGCGCACGTGAAAATAATGACGCATAGAATATGCGATAACTCCAATTTTACGTTTCATACGTAAAATTAATGTGTAACATTTCACGTGTTTTAGTAACTAGACTAATTATTCTTATCTTTGTGTAAATAATAAATAAATAAAGGAAATTTCACATATATACTGTGTAATTTATGAATGAAAACAGTGTCGACTTACTGTCGTTTGCGAAAGTGTCCAAAGATATCTTCGCAATCGTTCACTGCGAACGTGATTGCCGAGTGATACAACCTGATTTCTAATGACGATTCCTACGATTTCGTCGTGATCATTATTCCAATGATTTAGCACAATTTTAACAGGCAGCGTTATCAGTGAGTGACAGAATTCGAGAATTCGCGGAGTCGCACATATCTTCAAGTTCAAGGTCATGGTAAGATTTAAGATATCCCAAGAAAAGCAAATTAATTACTGTAAAAATCATACGAAACATTGTATTATGATATTTTTCTTTATTAAAATAATCTTGAAGCTAAAGTGTTCGCGCATATTCAAATCGTGAACGACGCGTATTGCAAACGTACATGAGTCACGCTGTTCGTGGGTTATCGCGATGAAGGAAAGGGTCCTTTCCATTAATCAATGTAGCTCGCGTCTCGTTAATTTTTGGCGAAAAATTGCAACCGTACACAACGCGACACGGCTGATGATTGATTTACCTGGTCGTATAAGGCATAATGAATAATATGAGCTATGAACAAGCAAAAACTTTTTGCAAACCAAATATGCAGACTAAAGTGTTATCTGTTATAAAGTTTTTAGTTCCAGATTATTAATCACTTAGAACACGTAGAGAAACTACATTAATTTCAATCAAAATCATGCATGGACTTAGAAAGGACCTTTGATATTGATAAGTCCTTAATTTTGTCTACCTCTCATTTTAATTACCGCTTCACGATTATATATTTTTCCTATTTCGGGACCAAGAGACACAGACTACATCAACTTGTTGATCTAATGGACCGAAAAGACTGTCGCGATAGCTTCCACTATAACATGATATATTCACTTCATTTCATTTGATTATGACTAATTAACACCCGAGGAGGTCATCGTATTTATAACATTCCCGTACGTCATGATAATCAAGTATAATGTCACTATGATTACGAAAATAAAACGAGCTAGTGTGACACGTAACCACCAACAATATAATCTTCTCTAATGAATGTAATGAAATATTCACATTCGTTTTTTAATTTACGATATTGATGAATGCAGGTAACAAAATAACAAGGTCAATAATGCTATTAGTAACAAATATAGAAGAATCGATAAGCGATGTAATCTTCCTTTTCGTAATATATTTGCACGGATGAGGACAAAAACAGTGACGCAGAGTTGTTGACTACGAGAATTTCAGGTATAAATAAGTATTTACTCGGATCCTTAAGAACACCGAAAGAGATTTACATGGGACGTTCCTAATCTCTGAACCAATGTCAATTGTGGATAAGATAATGGCAGGCAACGTGACCGTACTATATACATCCACTGCTTAAGCCGGAAAAACGAAAAGTTTGAAGGCCGAAAATGGTCGGCAATAAATATAAATCCGTGATCATAAAAATTGTACAAAAATACTATGTAACTATGCAGGGGACTGAGAATGATTTAGATGGTCTTAGAAAATTAACACGAGATCCTCTTTTAATCTTTGAACCAACACTAAACTATCTGAGTATAAGATAGCGACAAACAACGTGACCATGCCGCATGACTAATTTCAGTACAATCTCCTGTTGGGAAAATAAGAGGTGAAAAGTGAAACGATGGCGCGATATCGTCGATAAATGTAAATCGATTAAATTGATAATCATGAAAGTTGCATGAAAATGTACAACGTCGAGGGACATTATTATTTAAAATAAACAAGACGTACATATCGCCGGCTATTTGCGTAATAAAAGTTCGAATCGAAATTGCTGCGTTCAACTGCGTCGCGTTTCGGCTCTTCGTATATTCGCAAACGGTCGGAATATCGACCAAAAATATTTATAATCTCTCATCCCGTAAATCGCGTTAAATCGCGTTAAAATGGAAATGACGCCGGCAAACCGAGCCGCGTGTACATTCAAATGCGTATCTGTCCTCGCAAATCTGCCCGGGTTTTTCCTACCTTCGCCCGAACACGTCGCCCCGTCTCTATTAACTTTGCCAACGAATAGCTTCCCAAAGCAACTTTTACGTTCGCCAGGTAGAGAACCAGGCTACCTACCTTTTGCGGTGTGTTCTCTAGCCGTAGCTTCTTGAAAAGACACACCGCTCAGCCCCGAGAAACCTTTCGGTTTTCCTTCTTTACTTAAGGGCACTTTTGTTTTCGTTACAGTTGTCGCAGTGGACTCGAGAAACAGTGGAAAATGTGGAACGCAGTGCGACTTTATGAACTTTTGCTCGTAGTTAGCAACGGCGCGATTAAATATGAAAACCACGGTTGTCACATTCTTTATCTCTGTCTTAATTAAGCCGCAATTTTTTAATGCGAATTATTAAAATTGATTAAGATCGATATCAAGAATCTTGTACGAAAACATTGATAATCAAAACAAATGCATTGGTTATTTTCTGTTTCACGTATTATCAATGCATGCATTATCAAACATATCAGCAGACGGTGAAATGAAAAATGTTAACTGATTTTTCGATGATAAATCTAGGATGTGATAAGTATACTGCGGATTTTGAGCAAAATAAAGCTTGGTTTTTACTTTCACGGTTTTTACGTATTCAAATTTGTTAGCTATGCTTAAAATCCGCAGTCTAGTGATAATATTAGAATAATTGTAGACGAACGCGATGTACACAAATTCATAGTCACTTTAATTAAATATATCTATGTACATTATAGGTACATCATAATATATTCACCATATGACGACTGTACAGCTGTAGCAGCACTTTCAATACTGTTCACAAAAATACATCGCATATAAACGAGCAATCGGTTTATACGCAAGGTCGGCCCAGGACTTGCGACCACGCGGAGCGCCTTTTTATTTCTAACTATCGTTTTCTCTCTTTACCTGTTCCGGGTCGTGGTGGCCGCGAAACGCGGGGATTTATGTACAAAAAAGTTCATTTGTTTGTTTGTTTTTGTTTTCGGCTCGTGTCGCAGGTCGGGCCAAAAAAGGAAGGAACGTGCCACGAGAAAAGTACGATTTCACCGGGGGTCGAAATTGCTCGCGACAGATCCGCGAGCTCGCGTCACTTCATTTTACTAAATTCCTTGTTCTGTCTTTCGTGTCATTAAATAAATCGATGATGAATAAGTAAAGGATAAGTAATATACTGATAGTGCAGATAAAAATAGATGTATAACATAAATGACTAGGGAAATCAATTAAAAATTGAAAGCTTCTCAATATGAATATTGCTCTACTGTAAAAAAAATACTCTACTTCATAGAAAGTCACTACAAGTATCTAAATGCTGTAAGATATTAAAACGACAAATATTTCTAAGTCTTGTTGACGCATCAAATATTCAATACTGCTGGATTTAAAAATTGTAAAGATCTAACAAAAATGTTTAATTTCAAAGTAAAATGAATTGCACTATCGTATGTAGTCGGAGTTTACTTCGAAATGGGATTCATTTCTGAAATCGTTTCGGATAGCGGAGTTCGCGGTTTGCGCAGACATCAACCCCCGGATCTTACGGAAGTATGTATTATCAACAAACAGCCAACAGCCCGAGTGGGCCGCGGATTTATCTTAAGTACCATCGAGAAACACGAGATATTGACACTTCTGATACCGATGATATTTATACAATTACATAGAGTTGTGGTGCAATGAAATTTTCCCGGCCTTTTTGCTGTCGCGACGAGAACGTGTCGGATCCGCGAGTTCGAGAATCGAATCCGTTCGCACGTGGGCCTCTTAGAATTCGCAATTTATCAGCGGACGACAATGAGCAGGACACCGCGAGATCTGATTTCTCGCGGGAGCAGCAGACCCGACTTCTGTTCTCCGGACACATTATCACAATTTTTTATAATTCAATCTCGCTCACTCACATTTCTTCTCTTTTTTCCATTCTCGCACCCGCACGCATATACATGCACACTCGCATTCGTATGCCTTCGCGCTGCGTCGCAACGTGTGCCTCCAGGAGAATCGCATACGCTTTACAGTTCACGGTTATTATTTACAAGAAAGTATTCACGAAACAACTTAAGGAACATTTGGTATCGAGGGCAATAATTCGGTCGAATGACGACGGCCTGTCGTGAGAAATTTCATAAAATTAACTCCCACTTCGTTGCTTCTAATCGCGCGGGTGTCGCTTTTTCATTTCCTTTACCAGAAATCATATCCTTAACAATTAATTGAGAAGCTGATAAAATCGAATTCTCAATTTTTCAGCTTTGCTTCAAATATACTATCTCTGTCAGAGTATTTGGCTTACTGGTAGCACGTTTGCGAACTTAACAGACTAATAGTACGGGCCGCTAAAACGAATTGAAATATGGTAAAGCTTCTATCAGCGGTAGTCCATTATTCTTGGTTTCAACAATTCAAAAAGGAATAGCATTTACCTAGAATCTAGATCATTCATTATAAAAGAAAAAATATACCTACATATATATATGTTATATACATAATGGTGCCTGATAGTGTATTTCATGAGACATAAAATGAATCTGAAATAACAGAATATCATTCATAGGAAGGGAAGCTATTACACCTGAGAATGTGTAAAGTCATCTCTCCAGTCATCTGTTACAAAATCTATAGATTTATGGATATGTACAGGCCAGAATATTTAAGTAAGGTATTGTTGAAAGCAAAGGTGCTGATGCTAAATCCGCAAAGGAATCAGGAGAAGGCGTCGTAAGGGCGCGCCGTAAAGAAACGGGATAAAATGCAACGCCGATGAGTCTTAAAAAAAAGGTGAAGTCTGGTCAGATCAGCGCTAGGGGCAGAACTTGATTTATGAGACCCTAAATGTTTTGCACGTTGTCAGCTCGTAACCTTCACGAAAACTTTTTCTTTGTGTTTTCCGTCTTCTTATATTCGACAGTAAACGTGAAACATGAAGTTTAACAAGAAGTAAAATAATGTTCATTTAAAACAAGTATATATTGCACTCGATTAAGCATGGTCTATAAGTCTCATAAACATTTTTTTCTGACTGGTTCGTAAAATATTTTATCACAATGATTCGAGACACGATAAATCAAAGTTCGGATGGGATCACATCATTTGAACGCGTAAGTAAAATCTAGTGTAAATCATTAAAAAAATAGGTCATTTTTCTTAAATATCTACTAGTAGATACAATAAATGTTTTAAAAATTATTCTATATTTCTTGACGAAAAATAAAACTCGTTTCGACGACGTTAAGTACATCGAAGTTCTGTAAGTGTGCGTTAAAGTAGTTCACGGATGCCACAGTAGCTGAGCCATAGACGTTGATATGTCGATGGAAAACGTTTCTATATGTAATGTATTACAAATACATACTGACTCGTCGAATCTCTAAAAGCACCTGTCACATGTGCACCACGAGTACGAAATTCTGTTATAGCGTTCCATGGTGAAAATCAAAATACGCCTGATGTCGATACTACTAAACCTCTCCACTAGAAAAATGAACAATTTCAAATTGAAATAACACACCAATTCCCACGTTCGAGGGAAAACGTGTCAAAAATTAGCAATTTGTACATTAATTTTGATTTCACCTTTGTTTGATTAACGTCTCTCTGGTATAGATTAATTCCATATCTACAATGAACAAAGTTTGTAAAGATCTAGCATTAAATTAAAATTAAATTGTGCGTTCTTGAGGTACGAAAAATTGCCTCGTACCTTAACATAAACATAAACTATTAATCAATACTCTTAATAATACTTTATGAATATTACTTAACATGTAGAAAAAATCTGATTGTATATATCCAGACTACTCATGCATATGTATCCTTCCTAATACATCCTAAGATAAATTTCAAATAATAATTTAATTGTTCATTATCGAAGAAATATATTCACAGTAATTAAAGAAGAAATTGCGACACTGAGTACAAAAATCACTGGTTCATTTCCTACCGGAAAATATCAAGCGCAGAAGAACAAAAATCATCGATTGAACGATATCGAAAGAAATTCATTTGATTTCTCGTCCGAGAATGTAAGAAATTAAGATACTCAGGGACTGTTAAATTGTAAGTTATTAAATTCGCTTGGACATAATAATGATAATGTATCATTCCTGGCAACGCGAAACTTCGCGCCATTTAACATTTTGATATATTTAAGAGTGGTCGGAAAGTTCTGGCCACACTGTTTCGTTATCGCGTCCAGGTCATGAAAGGAACATGACGTTGGACCTTTCTTTGTTCTTCGGTTCTGGCGAGAAAATCGATTAAATGTCACTCTTTAATTGACAGATGCGATACTATTTCTTGCGCAATATCGAGAAAAAGGAATGAAGCTTCCAAACAATGGAATTATTAGCTTTTATATCATCGAAGATTCTTTTATCCCCTACATCAAACGGTTTAATTAATTTGCATGATCAGAATATCAGAAGAAAAGAATTGGTGAGGCAACAATCCGAGGATAATTCATTTTTTGGAATAATGGAATCTTGATTCGAAGCCTATTCGACGGAGAAACCAGCAACAAAAGACTTTATAGAAAATGAAGATAGATGAATATGTAGCCGGAACAAAGAAACGAAGAAGCATTGCGAGGATGAAAGAGATTTCTTTACGGTGAACATCTTGGATTCTGTTAATAAGAGTCCATTAATAAATAAATACCGGGAAAAGTTTCAACAAAAAATGGGGATAATAATAAAATAGTCTCATTTGAGGGGACAAAGTAACTTCTTTCATTGCATTGGGGTGAATAAAGGTAAATTGGCTTTATGAATGCGCCCCTAATGAATTGCTCGTAATAAAGTAGAATTCCTTCATCCGTCGACCCCTAAAGTTTACAAGTATATACTTTTTCTTGGACGTAAGGTACATATCCCGAACACAATAATTTTAAGCCTTATTATGTATTGAATTCGTCGGGTTATGCTATTGCATTTTACTGTAAAATATAATGATATGAAACAAGACTTCTTCACTTCGGTATTATATTAAAAGCTCACTTAATTGTCTAATATTGATATCAGTATTAATGTCCATTAGCCTCATTTTAAGCAGGAAGAAAGCTGAAGGCAAACTTTAGAGATTCCCACGCTCGTGTACGCTAACGAAACGAGACTCTTAATAAACGTGCATTCGAAAATAATTTGTTTCTTAGTCGCGTAGTTTTGTTAATAAAACTGGTATAACTATTTTCGTTTCGTTCCAATAAGTATTTGGTGTATTTAAAACCCGATTTCAATGCTTTTCGATGCATCGAAAAATTAGAAAACATATCATCGAAATATTACTTCGTGTCAACACGAAATTACATAACTCGCAATCTGCTAATAACATACACCAATATCAATATTTGATTTCAATAGCTCCACTTTAATCCGGAAAGCTCTAGCATAAATATTATGAGACAGTCGCCTTTCCATAAAAACAAGACAGACGTCGAAACAGTCTGAAATTATTCAACATGGTTATCATGAATATTTAAAATTATCTCGTAGTTTCTTAGCGTCACTAGAATTTTCCCAGACGTATGTAACAAAAAAAGTCTATGATAAGCGTATAAACTCTTTCACAGATCAATGCAATGAGCATGTACTATTTAGAAACAGACTCAGACTTCACTCGGTTTGTGTAAGTCCCTGGTTATCCGTCTATCGGTAGTTTCTCGGACGATATTTACTTCCCGACACCTTGCCACCGTGATATCGATCTCTAGAGTCGTCGCCGATACCAAGTCGGTCGAAGTTAAACAGCGTTGCTGGAACCCGCGCGATTTCTGCCACGCCAGGCCGTCGACACGTGGATGTGTACACGTATCTATCTACCTATCTATCTATATATAGATCCATATTTATATTTATGCGTTATAGGTAACGTGTATCCTGTGTGTGTCGTGTCTGTGTGCTTGTTGAATGTACGTGTACATATATTCTACTTCCATTTTGGTCGTGTGCAGGTGTTCCACTCGATGAACGCGTTCACACTGATCGAACGGCCGCGTCACACACGGGATTCCATTTTTGTCACCAGCGTGACAGCTTGTCTCGATCACGAGTATATTTTTCTTTTTTTCCTTCATTTTTTTATTTACAGTGATTGTAAAATACAGGACTCTGGACGATATCTCGATCAGCTGGCCGCGTCATCGAGCAGGGAACTCTCTCTCTCTCTCTCTCTCTCTCTCTCTCTCTCTCTCTCTCTCTCTCTCTCTCTCTCTCTGAGTCGAGCGCTAATCCTGGACCTCGAAGCGAAAGCATTGCGTATTTCCACTTTGCTACTTTTTGCCTATTCAAAATAATTATCAAGGATAATTTCGCACGATTTGGAAAAAATAATCTGGGTACAAATGACAATGTGAATACGCTAGGTGCAGAGGAGGTTTTCGACTTCCGCTCCGAACGCCACTAGAAACGTCGATGAAGCGATGCGATGCGTTTGCATTCCGACGCTACACGACGCGTAGATGCCGATTTCGGAACTCCCACACCATTGGTAACACGCGAAAGAATATAAGCTTAAATTTACCGGCCCTATACGGTATTACATAAATTTCCACGCTGACTTGACTCGAGTATAGCTCGACCCTCCACGAGTTAACTTAGGAACCACATGCGCGAATATCCTTATAATACCGACGAGAGACTTTGTGTGTGTAGATTTTTTTCATTTTTTCATCAATTAGGTACTTTTAACGAGCCTCGACAACGATTATTTTAATAGACGAAGAGTATTGGTCCAAAGAGAAATGTAATTACACGTATCGGTGGAGAGGGCGGCGGCGATGGTCTGAGGTCGAACCTGACCGAACCGTCGAAATTGTTTTCGGAGTTCGCCGCAAAATAAATCCGCGGACCGGAGATCGATCGTCGCCTCTAACGTGGCCGGCCCCCTCCGAGTTTATCATATTTACAGCTCCGTTTCTCTCATTTTCCACATGGACATCGCACACACGTACGTAAATACTGTTGACAGTTAATACAGACAACTCCTCTTCTCTAGCGAAATTTGCTCGCGGTTCGATTAAACGACCGGGCCGTCGCGTCGCGTCGTGCTTGGCCCAAAAACGAAACGAACAACGATTAAGATACACGTAACAACGATTATACGGACCGCGGTTACGATTCGTAGTACCCTTTGAGTTTTTCGGTGTTCAATAATCACAGCGCGTGTTTCAGCCTTCCATTGCATAAAGTATTAGACCGTTTTATAGTTTTCGAGCTCGCCGGACTTCCCGGTACTCCCGCCGCGAATCGTCGCGCTTTCTTCGCTTCCCTCCTCCCTTCTTTACGAAACGCAGCCCCCGAAAGCGAATTCATTCTCAAGACTCGAAGATGACCGAGGAGTCGGTGAGAGATCCTGAAGGACGACGTAAGGAGGAATAGAGAAATGAACGAGGCTGCTGCGGGGAGATCGTGGGACGACAGAAAAGATTGGTGACTCACGGGAACCCGTGGTCGTTCTACGTGCGGCCACGCTGAACGGCGTGTGTCCGAACGAGCCTGTCTACAGAAACTTCGTTACTATTTACATACACGAATCCTAGCGAGTTTCGGTGTCTAGCGCTTTGTACGATCGTTTACACAAGAGGTACAATCGATAGCATCCAGGAATCGGTAACGATGCCGCACCGGTTTTTCTTCTAGAGGAGACCGTCTCGAAACGCTACTATCGATCGATTGTCCTCGCAAAATTCGGACTCCGTGCCAGCGTTACACTAGCACCATATATTCTTCTCCTTCACTTTTTCCGTCTCTCCTCTTTCCCTCTTTCCGGCTGTTTATCAACTTACTTACTCTTCGTTTTTCACTGAAATTCAGTCTCCTCTTCTTTCGGTCTTTTCGCGACGGCGATCGAAGAAGTGTGTTGTGCGAAACGCGTGAGACGCGACGCTTAATCAGAGGCCGTTCGTTGCGTGCATTTACCCCGCGGACCGTCTTTCCTTTCGCGGGAAACTGACCCTAGCACGAGTCCCACTGTCTCGAGAGAAAAATCTGATATACAAACACGACCCCCTGTCCTTTCATTGAAAATCTGGTATTCAGACCTATTTGATTCTACTTCCAAGCCTCGAATGGCGCGATCGACTGAAAAACTTTGATTTTCGACGTTTGATTCTCGAGGTTTCAATGTCAAGGGGTTAGAGCCTCTCAAGGAACTCTGCGAGTAGAGAGCACTGGCTCGATGCAGTTTCTCAAGAAGTTGTATTTTAAATGCTTCGAAGTCAAAATTCTCGAGAATTATCAAGAGTTCTGTATCACTGGATTACCTCGTGGAACTTTAAGTGGAGAAATAATAAATAGCAAAGACTTATGTAGTTGTAGGATGAAGTACAATTTAAACTTGGAAGAATCTCACTTAGAAGAATCAGGTACTTAGTTTTGTTTTCGTGCGAAAACGTTTAGTTAATAATATCAACAATATGGTAATATCACTGTCAATAAGACGTTGAAAACAAGATGACGCCAAATCTCGAACTTACATCTGTAGAGTTCTATTAGAAGACGGCGTACCCGATTATTTTGGGAAACTTCTAATCCGATCAAAGATATCTATTCTCCAAATGTACATTACACTTCGTCCCATCAACAGCTACGTTACAAAACTAAACGTTAACTAGTATAAATTTGGTACTCGAATACTGCTATACGACAACCACTCGACGACCCCGACGTTTCAAGCCTCCTTGTAAGCATCTCTCACGCCGTTAGCTTCGAAGTCTCGAAACGCGAGAATCCTTGTAGTAGCATGAATCACTCACCCTCACGCGAAAATCTCTCATCCGTCCCGCAACTCGTGCAACTCTAACGCTATCGTATTTGTACTTGCGTGCCTCGAATGCGCCCACGAGATCCAGTGCACGTCGAAGTATTGAAAACTTTAAAAACCTCTCGAGTGAATCCCTTGCGAATCTTCACGGCAAGTTAAACAATAATAGTATTACGTGTATCGTTGTGTCTGTACGTAGAATAATTATAATTTGCCGTACCATCATTTATACGGTCACATAGAAAAAATTGATACAATTGTATGTGATGACGATCCATCGCGTTGTACGAAAGTAGTTGCATGCGTCTATCGTATCAGAAATGTTAAAAAGAAAAAGGAACCATTGTCAAAGAAATGTAACATCGAGAACGTGCTTGGAAGATTAATTAAAATGATTTTAAGTATTCTCCTCGTAGACAGGGGCCCGATACCGAGCGTCTAGGCTCGGTCAGGGTAGCATACCGAATCCAAAGAAAGGCGCGATAGGCCTATTTTCGAACAGACGGGGTGGTGGAAGTGGCGGTGGCCGCTTCCTCCGCGGGGTAATCAGCGTGCTCTACAACGAGCCCTTCGCAAACGCTATCTCCCTGTGCTTGGAACGTATGTGCGAGCGGAGGGTGTCGATCCTGCTGTACGTGGCCGGGCAGTACGGGCAGAGGGACCGTTGGGCGGTGTGTATGTGGAAGTGGTGCCAGCGGTTGGTCACCTGCTTACCGCAGGCACGGCATCTCCACAACGCCGGCGAGCCGAGCGACACGGCGAACATCTCGTGATAAGAAAGACCGACTGGCACGCTCGGCATCGTACCTGCAAACCCAACATGCCTTCATGCGATTTGCGTTTTCAGCTTCTCCCATTAACGACATTTCCCTTTTCGCTCTTCGCTCTTGTTCATTCAATACTATTTGTTTCGTTTTCATCGTGATAACTGAAAGCTAATATATGTATAAGCATAACCGATCTTTATAGCATTGTGAAAATCATTTTACAATTCGAATTATAAGTACTTCTGCTAATTTTTTTAAAAGAAAAGAAGTGACAATTAAAGTATGGCTTTCAATCATCTATGTGTTCATTTGATCGTCCCTCAGTTGATTATTTGTTACACTGAATCGTAAGATTAATGAATTCGTGAACTTTCTACTTAGGATCATGATAAAGCGCTTACAGGTGTGTTCTTTGCACTGATAAGGTTGATGTGTTCATCTCATCGATGAGACCAATGATATTGCACTAAGAATTTTAGTTCAGAATCCACCACGGTTAAGGGATTAAAAGTTAAATACGCATTTTCTATCAAAATCGATCGCGTAACCAACGAGGGAAGGCAAATCGTAGTACGTGTGTGTGTATAATAATGTACGTGCGATCAGATGCGTGTACCAACAAACAAGGAAGCCTCTCGACACACTTCATTCATGCGCGCACGAGCATCATCCCTCTCGCATCATCTTTCGAGAATCTCTTGGCAAACGTGTGATGTCGCCGGAATGTATATATACTCACGTTTTGTGTAGGTAGACGCAGCCGCGTCGAGCGCAGCCGGCGAGAAAAATGCACGAACGTTTGCCGATATTATCGAGGGATTACCTGAGGACGAGATCCCCGCCTCTTCTCATCCTTCTGACGAGGATATGGCCAAGTTATGATTGCGTTAGCAGTGATCGATACCGAAAAGACGATTACGCGGTCTTACGGCGACTGCTGGATAAGTCCTCCGATGCCTTCGAATCTCCGGCGGTATGTCTCATTCGTGTACTCTCTTTTTTTCACTCACCTGTATCCTGTGTTTTGGATTAACTACTTAATATGTACAATACTGTATACTGTATGGTGACACCTTCTAACATAAGATTAAATACTTAACGTACAGGACGCGTCGTAAGAATAGTCAGAAAATCGCCAATTAAAATTAGGTACGTAATTTCAGTAGAAGATTAAGTACGATGGTCAAACGTCTGATAAGCTGTAATCCTGTATGACAGTGAATTCTACCAGACGATTGAATCTCTATACGTCACTCGACAATTACTACAATGTTAAGTCTCTTGAGCTATTTCAAAAATTCACTTTTCTCGAATGTCCTCAAACAACCAGAAAGAAGTTTCAATAAGATATACGTAACGAAAGAGCCGCGGATACTATTAAAATAAGCTCTCTAAATAACAACGCCTTCATCCAAAGACCAAACTTCGGCTATCCTAATCATTGAACAGGTTGAAGTTCGACATAACGGCCGAGTCTATACACAATAAACTAGTCCTCTTTTCCTTTTACGATACAACTACCGCGTTTCTCACCCTCGCAACCACGGCTAATCTCGAACAAGCAATGCCGCAAGAAAAAGCGCTCGCCGCGGGTAAACTGCGAACGCCTGTTAACGAGGGCTGCAGAGTTACGGTGTGCACACAAAGAGAGAAGCAGGAGGTGATCGAGGCCGGTGAATATTTCAGTCTCCAGCCTCGGTTCTTGTACTCCGAAGGCGCCGGTTCACGATAATCCACCTACGCCATGAACGCAACTATACCGTCACGGTTATGCCGTCTGGTTATCGACATCGTGTACGGAGAAGTTTACGCGACCTATCAGGAAACGTGACTCAACTAATTCTGTTACGGTCGCTGATCACTATGCTATACCCGTTTTTGCAATTAGTATTACCGCTTTATAAATGAGATTTAGTAAAATAAGTTTAATATGTCTAATTCCACGTAAGGACGTCAAAGATCGTCTAATAAAAAATTGATTGAAAAATAGAAAACTGAAAGATAATTGGAAAATGCATCTCCAAAAATTCTCACAGTAACGAATAACACCTCGCTGGTTGAGCGAAATAGAAAAGACCAAACAATCCTAACTCGCTTAAAAATTTTTGATGTTAATGCAACTATACTTAATACGTAAAAAATTTGTTTCTCATACATAGTTGTTAAACTAAACAATCTTCTCATGAAAATGATTTATTCCATAATCACATTTTCATATGTATACTTATTTTACATTTATACAATTTCAAGTTCTGTCTAATCATGTTATACAATATATTTATACCCTCTCAAACTCAGGAAACGGAAATTGTTCAGCAAAACGTCAATTTTTCACTGTATAAAGTTTCAGATTGCTCCAACTACTAAGTACAGTTAAAGCACAGTTATCGTCCGATTTAAACCATCAAGCTACAGCTTCCCGTAACGGATTTAATACTTTCTCTTCGATCTTTTAAGAACCGTTTGAAAAATTGATGCAGGTTCAGTTTGAGAATTATAAAAAGCAGATAATTTCGAAATCCTGAAATAATTATACTTCGATAATTGTAATTATTCGTGAGAGTACAATCGTGTATTCACGATTTTGGAATTCCCAGACGGAAGCGTCGCTGCGCCAGTTTTAAAAGGCCGTAATGGAAACGTCGCTAATCGACGGAGGTTTACGAGCAGAATTGGAGAGTAAACGACATCATCAGATGAGGATATTAAAGCAGAAGCTTGCGGAAGTTTCGAGTGATATAAGACTGAAATTCACTGCAGCTGCAGTTTTAAAGGTACGGTCAAACTCCCGGTTAAAATTATATCCCACACCGGAACGTTGTTAAACATACTAAATGACCAATAGTTTTATATCTTTTTTTATACTCTTCAAACTTTGAAAAGTTCTTCATTATAGATACTCGATAACGAATATTAAATATTCTGATATCGTTTTTCCCCTTACTTAAAGTCTACTTATATTACACAACTTTTCTCAGGTAATGATAACATTTGTATTAAAAGTGTACTATTCGATGTAGAAATAAGTTCTTGCCTACTTTCTAGTAAAATACAAATATTAGAAAAAGATTAGAAAAATTAACCATTTTCTTGCTAAAATATTATACGAATCCCCTCGTGATAGAAATTTGATGGTTTCTACGTAAAGTATTGATGAAAATGTTTTTAATCTCTGTACCTTGCGTCTGCTAAACGTAGCGAGCATTTTAAAATTCGTAGGAACGAACTTATTTCTATAATCTAGAAAAGAACTTCGTTCTACACCTAATAATTTACAAGAAATTGATTTAATTTACATGAGTGTTTTCCTTAATCTGTTCTCAAGATGCAGATACTTCATGGCGAAACGTTTTCAGTTAAACTGACGGGAGACTGACTTTGAGAAATCATTCCAAAGAACTGTTGATGCTTTCTCAAATACAGAAACGCTTAATCATGGCTGGTGTAATCAGAACTTGTTTATATTGGTTCTTCTCGTTTGATCGCAAGTTGCTTTTCAAATACAACACAGAGATCGTGACTCAAGGTAATATTCCTTGCGAAGAATTATGTACCAGATAAGTGTCCATTTGCGAGGTTGAATTTGGGTCAATGTAAAAGACAAATATTCAACAGTGAAAATTCCCGAGGTAACTGTGCCACTGAAATTCTGTTTTTCAGAGATAGAGAGAAATTAATTTAAGTAAATCGATTAAATTTTGCCTAAATTAAAATCATTGTGCTACACCAGGAAACTGCAACGTACTATTTACGAGTTATTCGACAGGTCTAATGGATTTAAAAATCTTTTTATATTTTCAATAACATTTCGCTCAAATATTAGTCTACTGTTATATTACAGCGAGTGTACATTATTTTTCATAATATTCTGATAAAATTAAGCAAACATTTCAGTTACTAGAACGCGCGCGCCTCGCCTTGATAATATTCTGCCCCACTTCTTTTTCTCATTTTGTACGCTTCTCAAACATTTTCCCGTGATAATGGATGTTGGAAGTTCAATCCTCACGGTCTCTCCAAATATCCTACTTAAATTAGCTTTCTCGTTTTTACGGAAAGACAAATAATTGTAAATTACAAATTTGACTCACGATCGAACGTACGATCAAGAATTTAGACTCGCGTGTTACTTTTTCCTGACCAACCAACCCTGTGAACGAGCGCCGATTATAGTTGGTATCAATTACATATCAAATATGTAACTATAGTCGGCAATGTGCACACTTTTCGTTCACCGTTCAGTGGGACTACTTCGACGGAGCGAACTGCCGTAGCGAAAAGGTTAAACATTGACAAGTGTGTACAGGTTGTCGCGTTACACACCGAGCCACCGAACGCCGGAAACGAGGGCGCGAAATGGCCGGAAGAACGACAAGCATGAAACGCGACTCGGATAGGACCAATATTTGCACGATTCGCACGTTCGCCTCACGCTGCTGCGATTAAAGGATCCCACTACCCAATTTGTGGTCAATAAAGAGATAAACAATCGCCCGAATTACGGATTTCACACTCCTTGTTCTGGGTGATAGCATTGAAATATTCCTGCCACTGGAGAGTTAAACATGTGAAATTTTCTGAATAACAGCCAATTTAGCTAGCTGACATACTAAAAATGAAAACGTGTGTTTTGTTGCAAATGTGCACGAGTCTGTTTTACTGTTCGATAAAATGACATGTCATATATCCGTTGTCGACACTTAAGGATGTATTGGCTATACAGTCAATCCCAAAAGTTTATGCACTTTAGAAACGCATTTTTTAAAAAGAAATCAAACGTCGGAAGAATATTGCTAATAATAAACAACAAAAAAAAATTTTCGATTTTTCCGAGATTTTTCCAAGGGGTACCCCTTCAATTTCTTCCAAATTTTCGATTTTTGGCCAATAACTCTCAAACCGTTGGACATACGGAAAAATTCTTAAATTTATTCTTCAGATTTATAACACTTTTACTCTATGGAAGTGACGTGAGCTTTTGAAAATTTAGGCCAGGTCGAAACGGAATTCATTTTCAACCGTATCGAGCAACGACCTATC